CTACTCCCTCCTTTATTAGCTCTCATCTTCTCCCTGCTCCAGAACATCCTACCTGCAGCTATAAAGTGCCACACAAGCCATACCAGCTCCTCCCTGCCACACCAACAGTAGCTCCCTCCCACCCACTGAAAAAGGTCTAAACCTTGAGTCAGGCATCCAAGTGATACGGCTCTGATGACTGCAGGAACACCAGGGTTCTTGGTCTCATGCCGGTTTAGATAACCGGGTGGGGTGATTTTAAGGACTGAAAAGTTTAATAGGTAAGAAAGAAGGAAGAATAAAACAGCTCCCCCATACAGAGACAGAGGGAGCGGGGATTCGAACAAAGAGAAAACCCCCGTGCGCAACGGAAAAGTGGCTGCTTATATTGGGATGCTGGAGAAGGCGGTGTCTGATTTCCATAAGGCCCAGGGGATTGGTTTGATCAGGTGTGTCATTTACGTAGCCCTCGAAAAACCTGGCCCTCCCACCTCAGCCCTTTACTACGCAAATACAAGTTGCCATGATGTTCGAAACACATGGTGTTATCTGGAGGTGGCTATGACACTTGGTACACCTGGTGACAAGGAAAAGACGGCGGGAATCACCATACTGAGCGAACCCAGTTTCTTTTTTTTTTTTTTTTTTTAAAACAGATTCTTCCTCTGTCCCCCAGGCTGGAGCGCAGTGGTGCCATCTTGGCTCACTGCAACCTCTGCCGCCTGGGGCAAGTGGTTCTCCTCCCTCAGCCTCTCGAGTAGCTAGGCCTACAGGCAGGTGCCATCACGCCCAGCTAATTTTTTTTTTTTTTTTTTTTCTCTTGAGACAGTGTCTCGCTCTGTCACCCAGACTGGAGTGCAGTGGCGCCATCTTGGTTCACTGCAAGCCCCACCTCCTGGGTTCACGCCATTCTCCTGCCTCAGCCTCCCGAGTAGCTGGGACTACAGGTGCCCGCCACCACGCCTGGCTAATTTTTATAGTTTTAGTAGAGATGGGGGTTTCACCATGTTGGCCAGGATGGTCTTGATCTCTTTACCTCATGATTCGCCCACCTCGGCCTCCCAAAGTGCAGGGATTACAGGCGTAAGCCACCGCACCCAGCCCTTTAAGCTGCCTTTTCTGTTAGAAAAGAGATGGTTTGGGGGTTGTTTCTTATTACAGGAAAGTTTCCACCCAGAACCTTACAATCTGCCTAAAATAACTTCTTAATAACTCTTACATCACAAGGCCCTCTGCAATTTGTGCCCGCTGACCTTTCACAGCACCCCAAGTAACCCTGCACGCTGGGCCCCTGGGCTGCTTTCCCGCCACCTGGCTCCTACTCAGCAGTTGCCTCCTCTTGGAACATACTCCTCAATCCCCTCAGCCACCTGCCGACACTGCCCCGTATCCTCCAGCTCCAACCCTTCACAAAAGTTGCAACCGTCTTCCTTTCTCAGCCTGCTTCCAAGCCTTCTTCACCCCCTTCAGGCACTGCCCTTACTCTGCCACCAGTGAGAGTCACCTGCCCCTGGCTGTGCCACCATCTCGGCACTTGCGTTTTGCCAAGTCCCACTGAATATGTGCGGCCGATACCCACGTTAAACTTTAAAGCTGGAAATGATGACGCTGTTCCTCACAGCTGCAAATGGTGCAGCCCTAAACAATGGAACTCAGGAAATGCCACCCTCCCAGCCCCATCCCACCGCGCAGAGGCGGCCCGGATAAGGATCAGGGGTCAGCCCCGACCCCAATGTGGTGAGTGCGGAGGACAGAGGCTGTTTCTGAGAAACCTGGATGCCCTTTCCGTGTAGTTCTGACCCAAACAACTCACGACTGCTCCGACCAGAGCAGAGAAGGGAACTTGTCCTTGAAATACACGGTGAGGGGAGATGGACAAGGTGCCAAGGTGTAATGGCACAAGACACCAAGAGCCCGCGTGTATCTTCCGGCACGTGCTCCAGTGTGAAACTGCAGCGATCTAGACTTATGCCAGTAAATACGAAGAAAGGCTGAAAATACAAGTTGAAGAGTTTTAAGTCTTTAAATTCTGGTCTGTAATCACAAATACGCACTCTCTGGACTGGCCAGGCACAGTGGCTCGTGCTTGTAATCCCAGCACTTTGGGAGGCCAAGGAGGGCAGATTACTTGAGCCCAGGAGTTCAAGACCAGTCTGGGCAACTTGGTGAGACCCCCGTCTCTGCAAAAAATACACAAAAAAATTAGCTGGGCATGGTAGTGTGTGCCTGTAGTTGCAGCTACTCAGGAGGCCAAGGTGGGAGGATCACTTGAGCCCAGGAGGCAGAGGCTACAGTGAGCTATGATCACACCATGGCACTCCAACCTGGGCATCAGAGCAGAAAAAAAAAAAAAAAAAAGAACTCTCTGAGCCCTAACGAGGTACCCAAAGGGAGGAGCCCCAGAAAACTGAGGCATCTGCCTAAAATGCTGCTTTGAACCCCCCAACACACACAAAAGACGGGTTATGAGGGCGGATTGCCTCCCCCTCACACATCACTGATCGGGGTATAAAGTGAATACAATCCTTGCCAAGGACAACTTGGCAAAGTTTACCAAAATGATTAAGACACTCAGTCTTTGACCCAGCATCTCCAAGGAATATTTTTCTTACAGATTCACTCATACAAAGTGATCTATGTACATACACAGGCAGTCCCTGCCGCATTGTTTGTGAAGGCTGGAAGTAGGCGAAATGCTGAACAGCAGGGAACTGGTTAAATAAATGATAGGACATCCGTGTAATGGTAAAAAAGCATGAGAAAGCACTCTGTGTCGCGTTGCGAGACAATCTCCGAGACAGGCCGTCCAGTGAAGGGTTCGGTGCAGAAGGGCAGGTGCAGCTCCTTCCCCGCTGCGGGGCTGGTTACAGAAAGGGCAAGGATGCGGTTGCTTGAAGATTCAGTCTCTGTGGAAGTAGACATGAGAAGCCAGGACAATCCAGGCAAGGAAACGCATGGAGTGAGAGGAAGGCCTCCCTGCTATGCCCTTTGGCGTCTTCATTGTGCTCCAAGTAAGCACGTTCCTATTTAAAAATAGTCCGAAACACTAATGGCTCATGGCCACAATGGCCACCCCTTTCTTTTCCTCCTCTTCCTCCTCGTCTTCTCTGTCTCTTCCCCCTTCCATAATGCTCAGTGGCAGCAGTGTGTAAAAGCACGGGCTGTGTGCGGCGTCAGGAGCAGGGCCTGCAAAGCCGGCCGCTCTGTGCCTGTGTGTGAAGGCTCTCAGCTCTGCACACCTGCCCAGCCTCTCGCAGCAAGCAGGGATCTGAGTATCTCCCATTGGGAGCTACCAGGAGGATCAAAGCAGATAACCCCCCGCAGGAAGGCTCCCAGTGCCGCGCCCAGCACATAGCAGGAGTCTCCAAACTGGTTGCTCAAGGGAGGCCTGCTTTCAGCCTGGTCTGGCCCACAGAGTTCCTTTGATTCCAACGAGAGGGCCTCTCAAGGGAACTGCTCTGAGCTACGGGTGCGAGGGAAGCCCCGGGAGGGTGGCTCATCCTCCTGAGAGCACCAGCAGGGCGGGCAGCTGAGCGGGCATCCTTGCTGCCTCTGCCCATCGCTCTGCTCCCACGAGGAGGAGACAGGATGAGGAGGTCCCCAGGACAGACGTCTGCAAATCAACCAACTGCCTTCGTGGCTCATTTCATTGTGTCGTAGGTGTCCTGATGCCCAAGACATCCTTGGCTGTGGCTTTAGAAACGCTGGTGATGCAGGAGAACCACTTCAAAGGATGCACTTGGACGAGAAGAAAGCATGCGTGAAAGGCTCTGTTCTCCATCCCTTCCCAGGGAGGCGCCCCCAGAGCGCGGTGGAACACGGGAAGCAGGGACAGTGGGAGTAGGGGGTGCAGCAGCAGAAGGCTGTGCTGCTCCTGCAGGTCTGGTCATATCTGCTCTCACTGAAGTCCACGCCTGCACCCTTCAACCCCAAGCAGACTATGGAGCTATCTGAGTTCAAATCCTGACCCTACCACTTACCGGCTGTGTGACCTCAGGCACACGGCTCAAACTCTCTGCCTGTTTTATCACCTGGAAGATGCAGATAAGCACAGCATCTACGCTGTAGGGTTGGTAGGAGGATTACATGAGTTAACCCATAAAGCGCGTGGAACAGTACCTGGCATGGAATGAGTGATTCACGAATGGCAGCTTCTGTTGATTGTCATCATCGTCATCATCATCCTGGCCAAGGCCATCCTCTCACCTTAGCCCTCCTCTTGCCTTAGCCCTGTTCTGTTACATTGCCAAGTACCAAAGCCACACTGAGGGTACTGCAACCCCAGCATATGTGAAACAGCCCCAGCACCAAGCCTACTGCCACCGAAGGCCATTTCTAGAGGCACAGCATCCGCCCCAATCTGGAGTCTGCTGGATTGCAGCCTGAGATCTCAGTGTTCTTTGGACAGAATCTGCTGGGTCTCCCCAGCCTGGCTTCACACACTCCTGGCCCTGCTTTTTGCAAGCCCCCTCTGGCCTTGACCAACTTTCCCCACCCCAGAGCTGGCATGCAATGCAGGGTCAGTGGCCTTCGGTGCCTAGCCCTGCCCCTCCACGGGGTCATGCTCTACTCCTCAGCTCAGGCTGAACCAACGATGCAAGTGTGGCTCCAGCCCCTGTCATCAGATTCACAGTCCAACACTGTCAGCACCAATAACAGAAAATCCATCAGCTATCCCCAAGTCCCGAGCCAGCATCTTCTGGCTTCCAAACCAAGTCAATTTAACATCTGACACTTGTGCCAAGAGTTGGCATCCAGAAAGGCACTCTCCTTTCGGCTCCTTCCGTCAGCCTTGCTGACAATTCCCCCCCCAGCCTCCATGGCGGACAGAGGCGAAGGGCTCCCTGCTGGTTCCCTCTGTGGCACCTGCTGTATGCCTGCCTCCCACCCATGCCCGCATCCTCTGCTCCCATCCGGACTGCCAGAGTGGACACCCGCAGCCCGGCACAGGCGTCCCCGTCTCTTGGGACCACCACACACACTTAAAAGGAAAGGGTTGTGAAATGATCATTTGGTCTTACTTTCTGGGAACAAAAGCCCGAGCAAGTCTCCACGGTCACATTGGCTTGTATCAGGGAGCTGGGGAAGGCGTGTGTGATGTTGTCCGGCAGTCGGAAGCACCCAGCGGTAGAGTGGCCAGTCCGCCCTGCGAAGAGAGGTTTCTGAAGTGAAGATAGTGCTGGTGTGGTGCCTGGGCACCCAGGGAAAATGCTGGCTTTAGGTCGAGACAGGTATAAAATAAACTGAGAGGCGCAGATTTCTTTTTTTTTTTTTTTTTGGAGACGGAGTCTTGCTCTGTATCAGGCTGGAGTCGGTAGCCGGATCTCAGCTCACTGCAAGCTCCGCCTCCCGGGTTACGCCATTCTCCTGCCTCAGCCTCCCGAGTAGCTGGGACTACAGGCGCCCGCCACCTCGCCCGGCTAGTTTTTATATTTTATAAGCCAGAGTTTCCCAGTTTCCTGAATCGTCGTCCTGACCTCGTGATCCGCCCGTCCTCGGCCTCCCAAAGTGCTGGGATTACAGGCTTGGGCCTCTCGGCCTCCCAAAGTGCTGGGATTACAGGCTTGAGCCACCGCGCCCGGCCTGAGGCGCAGATTTCAAATCAGGGAGGGAAAACAGCCCTGGGTGGGACATAGTCATGCTGAGCTCCTAAGAGAAACCAGGCATCAGGACCTTGACTGTCCAGGGTCACCTACAAGGGACCACGTGGCTGAAACTACAGCGCTCAGCTCTTGCTTCTGTCAGTTCTCCATAAGTCATTCCTTCCTCCCTTCCTCCTTCCCTCCCTCCCTTCTCCCTCCCTCCCTTCCTTCCTTCCCTCTCTTGCTTCTGCCAGTTCTCCTAATGCCTGCCTGCCTTCCTTCCTTCCTTCCTTCTCTTGCTTCTGTCAATTCTCCATAATGCCCTTCCTTATTTCCTTCCTCCCTTCCTCCCTTCCTCCTTCCCTCCCTCCCTCCCTCCCTCCCTTCCTTCCCTCTCTTGCTTCTGCCAGTTCACCTAATGCATGCCTTCCTTCCTTCCTTCTCTTGCTTCTGTCAATTCTCCATAATGTCCTTCCTTCTTTCCTTCCCTCCCTCCCTCCTTTCCTTCCTTCCTTCCCTCCCTCCCTCCCTCCTTCCTTCCTTCTTTCCTTCCTTCAACAAATTTGGATGGTGCATTTACTAGGTGCCAGATTCCTTCCATGATAGGTGACCTGACAGGCTGATCCTGTGAAAAATCCGATGTCTTCCCAGAAGATGCATTAAAAGAAAAGCAGACATGGAAATCTGAAACCCGGCCAGGTTTGCTCTTGCCATGCCATTGGAGTCATCCCACTACTTTGCCTCTGTGCAAGGTTTGCCTCTCTCTGATCTTGAACTCCCACTCAATTTCTAGGAACACTCCTCAAGCCCATGTTACAAAGAAGCCTCCCGCCAAGCCTCCTGCTGCTCTGTAGAACCTCCAGGTGGAAAAGTCCAGTGCCCTAGCTGGCTTCCTCGGAGCCGAACAAACTTTCTGGAATGTTCTTGCATCAACTGCTCATATTTCTTCCAGACTCGTCAGGGTTTCTCTAGACGGCATCCTGATTCTTACCCCATGCTCCTCGCCACACGGGGTCTCCCAGGGCTGAGCCTCTCCCCGGCTCTCTAGCTGCCACACCACGTGGTGCAAGCAGAAACCCTCTCACCAGCCAGAACCTGCCAAGTAGGACCAAACCCTGGATCTGGACGCCCACCTCAATTGACCACAGCACCGGTGGTCCACGTGTCAGGGCACGACTGATTAGGGCACAGACATCAGCCTAGTGTAAGGAAAACACCAGGGCTTAGGGTCATAAGTGCTTAGGTTCAAGTCCTTGCACTGCCAGTGACTAGCTCTGCAACTCTGCCATGTCTTGCCCTCAGACTCTCAATTTCCTCAGCTACATACAGCGTAGCTCCTACAGTTGTCATGAGGAACAATGTATACCCACGCATATCCCCTGATGGGGCCGCGTCTCCCCACCACCACGTTTCTGCCTTGGCTTTTGGTGTCAAGGTCGAGGGTGGTGGCAGGTGCTGGGCTCACAAAACTCTTTCCTATTCTTTGGCATGATTGGAGCCTCAAAGAACACACACTGCAATGGACTGGGCACTGGTCCTCAACCAGCTCCACAGGGGTAGAGTCAGCAGGGCAGGCATGATCCAGAGATGGGGGAGGGATCAAGATTCCAGCAAGCCCCGGGCCACAGGGAGGGACAAAAGGGGGCCACAAGGCCTCCAGAACACAGCTCCTGAGGGGAGGTTACATCCTGGGTGACCCCTGTGTTCCCCACACCCAGCCCCGATCCTGACACACAGCAGGCACCCACTACGTGCTGAGCGAATGAATGAACTGAATGAGATAAAGCAGGAAGGCACTGCGTATACTGCAACAGGTGAGTGATCCGTGAGCCGCTCAAGAAGGAAGCCTTGGCTGCCTCTGATGCAACTCTCAGGACACAGGTTGTCACCTGGTACAGTCTGGTCTCCCTCACTCCCCAGGAGGGAGCCTGAGGGCTGCTTGGGGCAGAATGATGCCTCCAAGGCAAAGATGCTGATGACTTGCTCAGAACCCACTCTGATTCCAATCTGGGGAGCACATTCATGGGTCTTACTCCTTGTGAATGTTCCTTGCTGGCAGAAGCTGCAGCTCACAATGGTGGTCACCTGGTCACCTCTTGATCCTGTCAGTTCCTCCCCTCAAGAAGGGGGCAGGAAGGCAAGGGTACCTCACAGGGCACTCCACAGCCTGCCCACAGGGGCAGCTAGGACACCATCTTCAACACTAACCATGACAGCAAGTCCAGCCAACTCCGGATCTAGGGCTGGCTTGAATGATTGGACCATCTGTCTCTTAATCCATGGGTGACCTAAAGCAAAACAACTGCCTCTCAGAACCAATGACTGGGCAGGCAGGTGGGGCTGGGAGGGCCACCAGGAGTCCACATATAGAATTGGTCTTACTTGGGGGCAGGAATGTTGTTTGAAACCAAAGAAATAAAAGCTCCAAGAAGCCAGCGTGGAGCAGTTTGGTCTTCAGGAAGCCTATTTGGATGTCCAAGTGGCAGGACAGGACTCTGCCCGTGTGCCATGGCGAACCCCTGGGTGAGGTCAGGGCCTGGCAGAGTAGGTGAGAAACTGTCGAGTTAATGGTGTCACTGGTGAACCGTAAGCTAAACGGTGTGTTGTCAGTTTCTCCACCCCTGTCCCCATTTGCCCCATCTGGACCCCTGAGCTCCCAGACACATCCTGTTTGAATGCAAGAGGCACCTAAGAAGCACCGGTCAGCTGGGGTCAAACATGGAGCAGCTCTCCCTGGCACTGGGACCCCACAGATAGCTGCCAGTGAGGGTGGCTTTTAGGTTCAGCCATGGTTATCAGGGCTCAGCTTCTGTGCTGCTTAGAAAACCCATTCCCTGCTAGGACAGCCCTCCCAGAACCCCTGTGAAGCCTTAGCTTTTGATCCAACACCTCGTGTGTGTGTGTGTGTGTGTGTGTGTGTGACAGAGTCTCACTCTGTCACCCAGGCTGGAGTACAATGGCATGATCTCAGCTCACTGCAACCTCCGTCTCCTGGGTTCAAGTGATTCTCCCACCTCAGCCTCCTGAATAGCTGAGATTACAGGTGCCTGCCACCACGTCCAGCTAGTTTTTGTATTTTTAGTAGAGACGGGGTTTCACCATGTTGGTCAGGCTGGTCTCGAACTCCTGACCTCGTGATCTGCCCGCCTTGGCCTCCCAAAGTGCTGGGATTACAGGCATGAGCCACCACGCCCAGCTGATCTGATACCTCTTTACCTGGGCTCTGCCCCATTCTTGAACTAATCCGTCAGCTCTCCTGGAGCCCTGTTACTAGGGCACGACCAGAGGCGGTCGTGTCCATGAGTCAGCAAGCCTGGACCCAGGGCTGTGCCTCTGCCTCCATCACTGCTGCCCTACCCTTGCCAGTGGTAGGGGTGGTCTCCCAGGCTCTGACTCCTTCCCAACCCACCTCTCCCAACCATGAAAAGAATGGCCCCCAGTATGTGCAACAGTGCACAGCCCTATTATTTTATCAAGGAGCCTTCTGTGATTAGAGGAAGTGGATTTGTGCTCATCATGTTGCAGTGAGGACAAATCTGAGTTTCCAACTCCTCCTTTGAGTTGGGCCCCTTCAGGGCCATCTCTATTTGCTAGCCCTTTGCACTGAAATTCCTTGGAGTCCAATCTTGCTGCCTGACGTGTCAGCTTGGTTGACTGTTTCCTCCTGAGTTCCACCACTTTGAACTCGGCACTCAGGGAGAATTCGCCGCTGAGCACCCCTACGCTTGGGCTGGTGGCACAGCTCTCAAGGGGACACTGCATTTGGCTCTGCCAGAACCTCCAGGTGACCCAGAGCCAACTTTCATGTTGAAACTTTCAGGCAGATCATATAAATTCGAACCCCCAAATGCATACAAATGCAAGCCTGTGCGGTGGTTACAAATTCTTAGGAAGACGTTTATCTTCACCTGAACTCAGGTCAAGACAGACAAGCTTTGTTCTAACTCTCCGAATGGGTGGGAGATATATTTTTTTTTCATCTAAACTTTCGCTGATTTACATTTCAGTGAAACTGAATCCCACTGTATACAGAAGTTTCAATCCAATTCCTCGCCCTGAGAAGCCCAAGACCTCCTTCCCTATCCTGCTTAGACATTAAGATCTAAACTGAGTGGCCACCCAGCCTGGCGGCTTCCCTCCGCTGAGCCCCAGGGTCACACAGCATATCTGTACCTCGCTCCACTGTGGCTCTTTGTTCTTCATTTCTGGATCCGAGGGATTGTCTTACTTTCCTGCTAGTTCAGCTATGCATTTACAATAATGTTTGCTAAATGTTCTGCAGCATTTCTAGGCGCTTTATAGTCAGGGAATTTTCTGATTGTCTGACTCACACCATTGCTAGAAATCTAGGTCTCCCGGCTGGGTGCGTGGCTCACGCCTGCAATCCCAGCCCTTTGGGAGGCTAAGACAGGCAGATCACCTGAGGTCAGTGGTTCAAGACCAGCCTGGCCAACATGGTGAAACCCCGTCTCTACTAAAAATACAAAAAAACAGTAGCCGGGTGTGGTGGCGGGTGCCTGTAATTCCAGCTCCTCGGGAGGCTGAAGCGGGAGAATTGCTTGAACCTGAGAGGTGGAGGTTGCAGTGAGCCGAAATCGCGGCACTGCACTCTAGCCTGGCCTGGGTGACAGAGTGAGACTCTATCTCAAAAATAAAAAATAAAATATAAAAATTTTTTTAAAAAGAAATAAATCTAGGTCTCCCTCTGCAATTTGCAAAATAGACTATAGCTCAGAGAGGGCAGTAAGCTGCCGGAGGCCACACAGCATGTCTGAGGCACACTCAGGTCTCCCAATCAGTCTCTCTCTCCTGCAGGGGACAAGAAAAGGTATGCTTCAGTGAGGAACTCAAGCAATTAAGGCTTTGATGGACCCTAGCCCCATCCCCACCCTGCCAGGAGCCTGTCCAGTGATGGCAATAGGGAAGGGAGGGCAGAGGCTGGCACGGGTTCTGCCCCAGGTAGTTTGGAATGAGAGGCTGTGGGAGACAAGCAGCCGGAGTGAGTGGGATGGACAGAGCTCAGGGAGAGGCTGGCCCACTCACGCTTCCTGGAGCCCGGCTGCAGCTCGTCTACACGGTACACGGAGAGCCGGTCCACAGCGCCACACACAGAGCCCTTCTCGCCTTTGCACTCATGGCTACACTCTTCCAGCCCGACGCTCGTCGCTGGCAGCCGGTTCCCGCAGTAACACTCTGCCCCAGCCTCCAAGCCGGCGTAGACATAGGACCTGAAGGGAGACAGGGCCTGGGTGAGTCCGGACCTTGGCCCAGAGCTAGGGCTGGGGTCTAAACTGCAGGCTGTTTCAGCTTGATCTAGACTAGAAAGTATGTTTAAGTAAGGACCTTGTCTTTTCTTTCTCCTGCCTCAGATTCTCCATCTGCCTCAGAGGGATAACTCATTGCTACCTGGCAGACTGTGGAGAGGATTTACGTGGTCATGCAGTGGCAACTGGGTCTGGAGTCGGGATATGGGCTGGACTTGAAGCTGAGTTTGGGTCTGGGTGAACAGGCAGACAGGGGCTACAGCCGTCAGCCTATGGCTGGCCTTAGGAATCAGTCTCCAGCCAGACTCAAGGGTCACCTGGCTAAGTTCAGGGAACAGTCTTTCCTTTGTGATAAACTAATGGAACCAGCCCCATTGCTCCCTCTCGCCAGCCTTCAGTTCTGCCCTGCAGGGTGCCTGGTTACAGGTTATAATGGGTCTAAATCTGTGATGTGCCTGTAAACTGGTTCTCAGTATGTGACCCGGAGAGCTCTGGTTTGTACTGTTTGCCAATTTCTGTGGTGTAAATACTCCCACTGTAGAAGATTTTAAGCTACCAATAGTTTTATAATGGGCTCACAACAACTCTAAAAATTTAACAGTTTACCCTGGTGAGTGGCCATGAGCTGGTCTGAATTGCCTGCCACGTGTCATGTCTTGTTACACGCAGCCCTCATCTCCACAGCCATTTCTCTACTTACTTTTACCTAGTTGTAATACCATAGGTGAAGAAAGGTTGGAAATGGAACCCACAGTGAATCACACAGGACTCTAACTACAGAAAGCAGTCAACACTTTCAAATCAGTGGATCTAGATGTGAAAAGCCCAGAATGAAAATCCAAACACAAGCTTCAAGTCCCCATTTGACCACGTCCTAGCGGTGAGACCCTGAATGTCACTTACCATCTCCGAGTCTCAGTTTCCTGATCTATTAGGAGACTAAAAAGAGAATGTATCATCCTGTTTCCACTTTATCTAGACTATGACGTATGTTTACGTGAGGACCTTGTCTTTTCTTTCCGCAGCCTCAGTTTCTCCGTCTGTAAAATGGGGATAACCCATTGCTACCTAGCCGACTGTGGAAAGAATTTATATGACATAACAAAGGTGAAAAAAATCTGTGGGATAAATAAGTGAAGGGTGAAGTCTGATTCTGTTTAACCCACCTCTCTCAGATGTGTACACACACACACACACACACACACACACACACACAGTCAATTGTGAAGGCCTTGACATTAGGGACCATTGCCCTGGCGTATGACAAGAGTCTGGTAACTACTGGGTGAGCTGGAAGCATCAGAAATAGTAAACCTTGTTATACACACAAGGTGAAAATACTTTTCCTACCAGAGCTGGAAAGATCTTCACAGAGAAATCTCAGTTAAAGCCCTTTATCTGATTGTAAAACAGATAAGTAAACGGAGTCCCAGGGAAGGAAAAGAACTCACCAAAGTCACACGCTGAGTCCCTGCTATGGCTGGACTGGAAGTCGCAGCTCCCTGCACTCAGCACCAGCACCCAAGCTCCCAGTACCCAGGTCATCACCCAGCATCCAGCACCAGGCCATCACCCAGCATCCAGCACCCAGGCCATCACCCAGCACCCAGCACCCAGCTCCCAGCACCCAGGCCATCTGCCAACAAACTTTCTTTCTTCTGGACAACTGGGATCTGATCAGTGCGTTCTAATTATGCTGTGACAGCCAACTGGTAGCTGATATGCGTCGTCATTCTGGAACTGTCCCTGGACCTTCCCCCCACTGGAATCAATAGCCCAGGACCCCAGCACTCACCGCTCCGCACACGCATCCTGGCAATGGGAGACAGTCATCTTTCTCAAGTCATAAAACACAGCTCCTTTCAGAGTCCTCTCGTGGCCATCATCACTGAAGCATCCAACGTAGGTGCCTGCAGAAAGGGAAGCACGGCTGACACCAGAGGCCCAGGAATCACGGGCCCACCCTTAGGAAAAGCCAGGGGAACCTCTCCCTTCCTGGCCAAGGCCACTTCTCAGAGAAACCCGGGGGATGAGCGCTGCAGGCAACCTCCCCCTCAGTGCTGAGTCAAGGGAGCATCCGACACCTCCCTCTTATTTGTTTCCTGCCCATTTTCTCTTAGTTAATGGCCCACTGTCCACCCAGACAGCTCTGCCAGGAGCCTGGCGTCAGCCTGACCACTGCTTTCTTCCACTGCCCCCAACTCACAAGTTGCGAAGGCTGGATTCCCTCTCGTGGACTCCACCCCTCCTCTCCAGCCCTGCCCTCCCTGGGCTCAGAGCGGCCTCTCTACCTCGGCAAGTGTCCTGAGAGACAAGGTCCTTGCCTCCTTGTGGGCCAAAGAGAAGAAATCCCTTAGGGCAAGTTTGATTTTAGCAAATTCAAGGAAGAGCTTTCAAATGGGGCAAGCTATCTCAAGATAAAGTCTGTCATCCCAAGAGGGAGTAAGGCCCCATCTCTGGAGTGTGTCAGAGTCTGTTAAGAGTAGGAGAAAGCATCCTGTGTGGGAAACAGCAGGGCCAAGTGGCCGCAGAGGCCTCTCCAGGCTGGTTACCTGCACACATCCCTGGAAGGGGATGCCAGGGACACCCATGCTGCAGTGGCAGTGAGAAGCCAGCCGTGCCCGCACCAGCGAGAGTCTCTCACAGCCCTGCCCTGCCACCCCGAGGGAGGGAGACATCTCCCAGAGATGTGCAGAGAAGCTCAGAGATGGCAGTCCCGATGTGAACACGGGTAGGCATGTAAATGTCACGCGCACGGGTGTTTTGAAGGAGCGGCGTGGGAATCTGCAAACACCCCGTCACACAGCCCCCAAGCTGTGAACGCACACCCACAATAGCTGTGCGAGATCTGGATCGGGCACCTGTGATAAAGACGCCGCACGTCTCCCCAGGAAGGCCTGCGTTCTGCTCATTCATGTCATCTGGGGAGCGCGCCGCTGCCTCCAGAGAAATTAGGCTGCCTCTGGGAAGTAACACGCCCAAGGCCTCCCAGCAGCCTGCCAGCGGCTCCCAAGCGGCTTTTCAGTGAGGAGGAAAGTCCCGATGGTCCACAGGCCTGGGTGCTCCATGAGGGCAACGGAGACTGTCTTTGTTCCTGCCAAGAGCCTGGTCTGGGGCAGCGGCTGGGGGAGCCAGGGCACCACTGAGTGGCCTAGGGGAGGAAGCCTGCCAACCATCCGCTTCTGGCCCCTAATCGAGGAGTGACTTTTATTTGTATTTAGCAGAGAGCCTAAATACAAAGGCAGGGGCTGGGCGCGGGCTCACACCTATAATCCCAGCACTTTGGGAGGCCGGGGCGGGTGGATCACTTGAGATCAGGAGTTCAAGACCAGCATGGTCAACATGATGAAACCCTGTCTCTACTAAATATAAAAAAATTAAAAAAAAAAATAGCTGGATGTGGTGGCACACACCTGTAATCCCAGCTACTCCAGAGGCTGAGGCAGGAGAATCACTTGAACCTGGGAGGTGGAGGTTGCAGTGAGCCAGGATCGTGCCACTGCACTCCAGCCTGCGTGACAGAGTGAGACTCTGTCTGACAGCAAACGCCACATTTAATTCCACCTCTGCCCTCGCTAAATAACTTCAACCTTCTGTGCCACGGTTTCCTCACCTGTCGAACACATACGTGCCCACCCACACGGCCTCCCCTTGCTCAGGCTCATGTCTCCTGCCTCCAGGTTTGGGCCTGTCACTGCTCATCCCTCCTACCTACCCTTTGCTGCCTGCCTGTCCTCAGGCCTTACATCTCCGACCCTGACCGTGCCAGCGCACAGTGGCCTCCCCTTTCTCTGGGTTTTTATATGCTGTGCTTGAAAAACTCATCCACCATCTATACCCTTGTCATTAGCTGTTGGAGTCAAAAATCTTTTACACCTGGCCGGGTGCAGTGGCTTGTGCCTGTAATCCCAGCACTTTGGGAGGCTGAGGTGGGTGGATTACCTGAGGTCAGCAGTTTGAGACCAGCATGGTCAACATGGTGAAACCTCATTTCTACTAAAAATACAAAAATTAGCCTGGTGTGGTAGCACATGCGTATAGTCCCAGCTACTCAGGAGGCTGAGGCAAGAGAATTGCTTGAACCCGGGAGGCAGAGGTTGCGGTGAGCCGAGATGGTGCCACTGTACTCCAGCCTGGCGACAGAGCAAGATTCCATCTCCAAATATATATCTTTTACACCTGTGCATCCTATCTCTGCAACATGATTGAAGGCTCCTAGAGGGCAGGAATCACACCTTTACCAGAGCTGGTGACCCCCTGGTGACGCACCAGGGATAGGCGCAATGTCAACGTCCACACCTGACTGTGAACGGTGGGTTCCAGCTCCTAAAAACCATGCTGACATGCCTGGAGGGTGCAAAGTTAGGAGCCGAGAGCCTAAATACAAAGGCTGGGGTCAGGCGTAGTGGCTTACACCTGTAATCCCAGCACTTTGGGGGACCGAGGCAGGCGGATCACTTGAGGTCAGGAGTTTGAGACCATCCTGGCCAACATGGTGAGACCCCGTCTCTACTAAAAATACAAAATATATATATACAAAAAATTATCTGGGAGTGGTGGTGCATGCCTGTAATCCCAGCTACTCAGGAGGCTGAGGCAGGAGAATCACTTGAACCTGGGAGGTGGAGGTTGCAGTGAGCCGGGATCATGCCACTGCACTCCAGCCTGGGCGACAGAGCAAGACTCTGTCTGAATATATATATATATATATATATATATATATATATATATGAATGAACAATTATATTACTATTTATTATTCATGGGGACTAGCAGTAATGCACGAAGTACATAAATACATATATACACACACACACACATATATACACACACACATATATACACACATATATATATGAAGGCGGGGACAGTCTCACTGAGTGCACCAAGGTGCAATATCCTGGGCCCTAGGTTAAGGCAAATCAGAGGAGAACAAGCAAGATGGCAGGAGACAGGACTCCCCACCACACCAAGACCCAAGGGACCCAGGAGACCCTCAGACCAGAGAACCCCAGGGCTGAGGAGGGAACAACAGCCACCTTCTCCAATGTTTGCCTGGCTCCCTGCCAGGCTCTGAGCCTCTTGAGGTCACCTGCATCTGGGGACACCCATCAGCACATGTGGCCATGCCCACAGGTACATGCTACTGCCCCCTGCTGCCCAGACATCCAGCCCCACGTGCACCTCTCTCCTTCTGTAAGTCTCAGGTCCACCGCCACCGGCATGGACCACTGCACGGAGCTCTCACCCACGTCAGTGAGAATGAATCCTTCTCCTCCGCCTGCCTACTTAGCAAAAGAAAACTAATATTTGAGAAATTTGTGATGGGTTGCTCAGCAAAGAAGTTCCGTTTCAGCTTTCAATTAAACAGCCAAAGCATAAGCTCAGGATTATTAAACATTTATCACTGTAGATGGGAAATTAACCACAAGGTTTTCAAGGTGCTTGGGCTCAAGACCTTCCCAGGCTGAGACTGCACGTTGCTGTACGTGCTTCCCAGGCTGCACAAGCTTCTGGGGAAGTGAATGGAAACAGTCTTTGGGAATAGGCTCCACCACTATCTGGCTGTGCCACCTGGGATGTGCGGCTGCCTCTCTCTGAGCCTCAACTTCTCCATCTATAAAATGGGGATGTGGTTCCAATTCCACGAGGTAGTTGTGAAAATTCCATAAGGTAACACATGTGAAATGTCTAATACAAGGCTTGGCGTGCAGTCATTACTCAGCAGCGATTGTTTTTACCGTTAATATATTGTTATTAATAATGAAAACATTTAAATTACTTTTCTTCCCTGAAACTCAAATTCTTCATCATTAAAACAGTGATAGCACCACTTACATCATAAGGCTGTTTGAAGATTAAATTAAATGAGATAACAGATGTATGTCTATACAATACAACGCTTGGCACATAACAGATGTTCAAATAAGTAACAGCCATTATGATTCTGATCCTACACTCTAACCTGGGATGTGTGATGGATGGATCAGTAAATATTGGCTGAATAATTAACACGTTAATAAAAGAGAGAAAAAAAAAAATTGTTTCAAGCAGTCAGGCTCTGGTTCTTCTGGAAACAAGGAATGGTCCACCTGCGACCAGCCGGCCATTTGATGGAGGGCGAGCCCGGGCCTGGCTGGCCCCGTCTCAGTGTGCAGCAAGTGGCCTGAGACACAGACGGCCCCTCTGTTTGTGAGGAGGAGGCGAGTTCTTTTATCTGGATGCAGAACGAACAGCTTTTCTAACTCCCCGACAGAGGCGAGAATGTTCCGGAAAGAAAGAACTTCCGAGGGATACACTGGGACCCATTCTGAGGCGGATTTATTACTTTCGGCTGAAATGGAGGCATTGCCTTATTGTCTGTGACTCTGCATCTGTTCATTTGCACATCAAAATGGACACTCCGTGAGGCTATTAACGATGGCTTTGAAGATATTGGAATGTCTTTGGAAATTACTATCAATAAAAAACAAACTGGCTATGGAGAAGTTACTATTTTTCCCCTAGTAAACTTACTGACATTTTATTCCATTATGGATGTTGTCCAAGGTATAATGAAATGCTCAGTGATTGATGGTGCCTCCTGCAGCTTCCGCGCCTTGCAGGATCCCCTTTCAGGAGGATGGCGGGCTGCCCGGGCCACAGAGAGACACCCGCTTTGTTTGCAGCCCCAGCAGCTGTCCCGAGGGCTGGGCCGCGGGCTACTCTCCGCCAGTGAGGCCCGACTGGCTGTGCTTGGCCCATGGAGCCCCACGACAGGAAGGGGCCCAGAGGGCTTGCAGGTCAGCACTCTGCCTTCCCCCATTCTCTGATGACCATGACGGCACAGCCTCCCCAGACCTGGTTCTTACACTGTTCAAAGGAGAGCAAATTCTTCCTTCAATCCTGGCACACATTCACAATACTGGACAACCTATGGAGGGCACTGACCATTCGGAATTGCCACCATTTGGTACTGGAATCACATTAACCCTCTCTTTGCTGGATAAGGGGGAGGTCTGGGGGCCACTGGGGAGTTAGCCAGAGTGCAGAGGCACCCCAGCGGCCCAGGTCAGGAACCATTTACCAACCAACCTGGAAGTAGTGCAATTATTTTAACAACTGATAAGACCATACTGGTATATAAATGTGGATATCAGCCCTGCTTATATCTAACCACAATCTCTCTTGCTTTTACTGGAGTCCCTTCCATCACCTCTATAAGTCATTAGGGGTAACTTAAAGTAAAGGGATGCCACTGGTTTCCTGAGACATACACGCTCTGCACTCAGGGCTGAGCCCTCCCCTCTGCTCGTCAGTTATTTTATTATTATTATATATATTTTTTGAGGCAGGGTCTTGCTCTGTCATCCAGGCTGGAGTGCAATGCCACAATCTCAGCTCACTGCAACTTCTGCCTCCTGGGTTCAAGTGATTCTCCTGCCTCAGCCTCCCAAGTAGCTATGTGCCACCACACCTGGCTAATTTTTATATTTTTAGTAGAGACAGGTTTCACCATGTTGGCCAGGCTTGTCTCGAACTCCTGGTCTCAGGTGATCCACCGCCTGAGAAACAAAAAAATTGTTGAATGGGATTCCAGCCAACGTCTGTCTGAATCCAAAGCCGGAGTGCTAAGTGACCTGCTCACAACATCTCAGCTTTGAGTCATGTGGAATTCCAGCTGGTGAGTGAGCAAAACCCTAAAGGACTTCACGTCACAGGCCCCTTCCTGACCTGCAGAGCAGAAGGAAAGAACCATCTAGCGGTGAAGGCTACGAACCTGAAGAGAGAAAGAAGATACCAAACCTGTGACCCTGAATAGGGGTCCTGGGAACAGCTCCCCTAAATGCAGCTGAGCGCCTACCTCGGCTGTGGATGGCGGGCCTGGGAGCCTCGGGGCCCAGGGCGGGCGGTCCCTGGGAGTCACTCATGAAGTGGTGGAACCAGCGACGACGCAGCTGACGCAGCTCCGAGTTGCGGCTCCGGAGCCAGCGGGGGCCGGGACGGGGCCGGGTCAGGGGGCTCTGTAGCATGTCCACACCCAGCAGCAGCTCTGGGCTGACTCGAGGGTCATGCAGTGCTCTGCTGTCCAGCAAGCCCACGCCCAGGGCCACGGCGGCCACTGGCAAGGTCTGCAGGGGGCCAGGTGCCCGGGGGCCCTGTGGGAGGGCCACTCGGGCCCGCTGCAGCAGCAGCAGGCTGCCGGTCATCAGGTAGGCAGCCGTGAGGAAGAACAGCAGGAACTGTGTTCGGCGGAGAAACTTCTGGAGTCGGAAGAAAGGTTTGGCCATGCCCCTGGGCAGCAGGGCTCCTGGCTGGAGCCCCGGGATGGCTCCTAGCGCCCAGGCGGGAGGGAGGCCAGGGCCTCCGGAGACGTCATCCTTGCATCCTGGCTCCTGGCACCTGCCTGTGCTCGCCTGGGGTCACTCACTGTTCCTTTCCCGTTTCCAGTAGGTGTGCAAATGGCACCATTACTTATCTCCAGTGGCCACAGGGTCCTGCAGCTGCAGCTTCTGCCCAGGTGTCAAGGACATCTCCATTCTAGGGCTCCACCGACCCTCATCTCCTGGTGCAGAAATCTGGAAGGTGGAGAAAGAACACTGGGATGTAATAGGAGGGTCCACTACGCGGCACTCCCAGGCTGGGACACCCCTCACCCTGTGCTTGCTTTATCCAAGGGACCAGCCGTGTTGCAGGAGCACTGGACAAAGCCAGGTTTAAATCTCAGCTCTGTTACTGGCCAGCTGTGTCACACTGAGTAGGTTGCTTAACCTTGCTGGGCCTCAGCTTCCCCATCTGCAAAATGGGGATAACAGCTCTCCCCTTGAGGAGTAATGAGGATGACAGAAATAATGAGGAGGAGGAGGAACAGCAGCAGGGGCTCTTTCCTCAGCCCTTGCTGTGTGTCAAGCACTCAGCTAAACACTTCGCATATTATCTCACTTAACCCTGAAACCAATCCAACAAGGTAGAGATACCGTATCCCTGTTTCACAGATGAGGAAACTGTGGCAAAAGAAGGCATATTAGCTAGTTTTCCCCAAGCCACACAGCTGGTAAACAGGAGAGCCAAGGTGTGGAAGAGTCTGTGTGCAGAGCCGGGACTCTCAATGACTACACGGCCCAGCCTGCCATGAGACACTATCACATATGAATGCACCTAGCCCAGGCAGGACTATGCTGCAGGTGCTTGATACATGCATGCAATCAGCTGACTCCCAGCGGTGCACTGGAACTGTGGGCCTGGGTTGGAAGAAGCTTCTGCACAGGCTGGTCATTGGCTTTCACACAGGATGGGGCCCAGGGGAGGGAGGGGATTGCGTAGCCTTCCCAGGCCTCCTGGACTCCAGAGGCCAGAATCAAAGGACCAGGGTAGCGCCTGAGCCGTGCATCTGCAAACAGAGGCCGAGCACCCGGAGCAGAGAAGACGGAAGGCTCTCTGATCTGCCTTCCGTGGGTCTCTCCGCTCCCCAGGACTCAGCTGTCACTCTGGGTTTCGGTTCCCATTGGCGGCACCTCTGAAGCGTGCTGTTGGGGTTGGCAGAGGGTTCTGCAGCTGCAACGACCTGGGCTGCTGTGTGAGTGAAGCCCTTAGCACAAGGACAGGCTTATCCCAGAAAAAAAGGCCCCTAGAAGCGTGACTAAGCCACTGCCCGTAACTAACTTGGCCCGGGCCCCCCGCCAGGCCTGTGCAGCCACTCAATGGCTGCTCTGTGCACCAGGGATAGACAACGGGTGTGAGAGGAAGGACAATGTTTGAGCTGGCATTCCAGGCCCCCAGAAAGCTTGGAGGCTTGGGACAAAGATCCCAGATAGGCATGAGCCTCTCTGATTAAACAGTGAGGGCCGCCAGGTTCTGAGGCCCTCGGGGAGGGTAGAGATGTGGAAATACGGGTCAGCTGGTCCTTTAGGCTGGGGCAGAGGTAGCAGACTCAGTAATCAGCAAATGAAGGTGGAATTAAATTCTGGGTTTGGAAATTGCAGACGGTTCTCCAGAGCTTCTATTTTCTAGGCTGACGTATCTGCCAGGCCCACCCCAGCCAGCCTCATCAGATTTGTAAAACCCCAGAGAAAATCCCAAGAAATCCTGGCTGATCTCTCTGCCTCCAGCTTTGGACCCTCCGATCCATCTTCCACAAGGCTGCCAGGGTGATCCTCCTCACACGCAAATCTGATCATGGCGCACCCCTGCTTAAAACCCCCTTCAATAGCTCCCCGTGGCTACTGGATAAACACTAAGCTCCTAGGTATGACATACAAGGGACCCTTCGTGATCCAGCCCATCTCTTGCCCGATCTCATTCTTTGGCTTCCCCATCTCAAATGCACACATGCGCACACACACTCCACGTTCCAGCAGAACCACCAGGAACCACAGCACATCTGCCTCGGTGCCTTTGCACAAGCTACCCTTTATTTATGCCTTTTCCTTCCTCTTCACTTATCAAATCCCTGTGTATCCTCCAAGGCTCAGGCCAGAAATTGTTCTTCAGAGAAAGCTTCCCTGAAGATTCCTCAGTCTTTCTGCAGCCCCTGCTGACCCTCAGCCCAGCACTCGCCATCCTGAGGCTGATCAGAACTGTCCATCTACTTGTCAGTTACCCTCCAAAGTCTGTCATCTACTTAGGGCTAGAGGCCATGCCTCTATCATTTTCCTAACCCCGGCCCCAGCATGAGGCCTGGGAGCGTGGATGCTCAGTGATCTTCGTTTATGAATACATCTTAAAAACGAACGAGACCACAGATAAATTGATACGTAAATCCTGACATCAGAAACCTGCTCCTATGGGGTCAGGGCAGTGAAATCTCAAATTCCACTTACCCAGAGCCATGGATGAATCCTGAAACGTGGGAGAGATGGAGCAGTGCATACGCACAGGCCCCCAGGCAGTCCAGGAACACTGCTTGATGGAGCTGAGGGCTTTCAGAAGCATGGCGTTAACAAGAGTGCCTGGGCTGAGCTTTATGTCATCCTTTCTATGATGTAATTCTATGAGGAGGGGTCTCCAGGTCTGTTCACAAAGGGGCTCCGGTTACAAACTAGGGATCACATCCATCCTGTACCACTGAAGGGGAGAGGGTAGCACTCCTGCTGTGAGAAGGTTTCTGATGAGATGGAGCAGAAAGGCAGGCGGGAGCTCAACAGTTCGGAATTTTGAAGGCAGGGTATACTGTGAATTCTGTATAGATTTTCTAGATAGGATTTGGATATACAGTATAAGTAGGGCTGGGGTGGGGAGTGGTCAGAGCGGATGAATCAGGATTCAATCCATCTCACCCAGGATCCCACGGTCCTCCAAAGTATTTTCTGGTGCTCCCCCTTCCCAAAAGGGGCTTCCCTGGTCTGGGGAGGTAGGTGCTGGTGTGGACACCACAGACAGCCATGTGCAGGCCAGATTTCCATGGCCCAGGTCTTCTATGAAGCAGGCTGCACTCCCAACTTTTAAAATCACAAAGCAGATTCCTAGCCTGGAAAACTCACTGCGGGTAGGCTGGTGGGGGGAAAAAAAGACCGGGCACGGTGACTCACGCCTGTAATCCCAGCACCTTGGGAGGCCGAGGCGGGCAGATCACAAGGTCAAGAGATGGAGACCATCCTGGCCAACATGGTGAAACTCTGTCTCTACTCAAAATACAAAAATTAACCCAGCGTGGTGGCATGCACCTGTAGTCCCAGCTACTCGGGAGGCTGAGGCAGGAGAAACGCTTGAACCCGGGAGGCGGAGGTTGCAGTGAGCCAAGATCATGCCATTGCACTCCAGCCTGTTGACAGAGCAAGATTCTGTCTCAAAAAAAAATAAATAAACAAATAAAAATAAGCATCAGGAACTTGTCACCCTGCCCTGGACTTCCACCACACTTTATAGCCGACATCACAACGTGACATTCTCTCTCCTCAAGGCTGGCAGCCCCGCTCCAGGGCAGAGATCACACCTGGTTTATCTCCATGTTCCCAGACCCCCGCCCACAGCTAGCAGGGCAGTGATGGTAAATGTTTATTGAGTGACTGAACCCACAAGAGGCCTGGAGGTGGGCTGGGAAACTTGGAGCACCTGCACAAGGGCTCACAGCCAAGCCATGAGGTCAGTCAGACAGCAGAACCGGCCAGCACCTGGGGTCGGGGACAGACTCCTAGCCACTGCTCGTCTGCATAGAGCCTGGGAGGCCATCAGCTATACCCACTACACCTGAAAGCCAGAAGGTTGTCCATGACAGTAAACCTACCTCCAGCAAAGCACTGCACAGGGCAGGGCCTCAGGCTCATCGTCTGTTCAATGGGGGTAAATGTGCTTTATGGGATCAAATTAGGGAGTGGACATGAATCCTCTGTGTCTGTTCCCTACAGACTGCCTTGGTTATGAATGCAAAAGAGGCAAGCAAGGAAAAGCTGGAGGATGGGCCTGTAGTAGCTGTGCCACTGGTGAAGTCAGACTCGAGAGGCCTCTCCCCAGCTCTGAGCCCCCACAGTCCCTGGAGTGCACCCAGGATCCCACTCTTGCTCGCAGCTGATCCCCATGCTGAGATTGCTGTTAGCAATTGCTTTGTCAATGCCACCATTTATGAAGCATTTGCAGTGTGAATAGGTTGAACTGGGCTGTACCTGCACCATCCACCATCTCATTTCCTCCAGGCAACCCACCAAGCAATGCCCTGTATACCCCATTTGAGCACTGAGGTCTCGGAAGCTGAGCCAGGTGATGTATGCTGCCCAAAGCCAGACAGATCAGGGCCAGCACTCAGACCAGGCCACCTGCTCCCAGAGCCTCCATTATGCCCACTAAGCTTCCTATTTCTCTCCCCTTCCCAGCTCCGGCTTCACACAAGGCAAGATGTATTCTCGAGAGGAGTTTAGTGCGCCTCCGTCAGCACCTTTTTGAGGTCATGCCAGGCCAAAGCTCCTAGAGACGATGCCACACATGGGGTCTCCCCAGCCAAGCCTTCCAGACAGTGCCTTGTTGGTGAGTGTTCACGCCCCAGCCCATTGGGACTGGCAGGCAGCCTGGCGCCCTTCCCCTCTGAAAGTCTGGGGAATTTTTCCCCAAGGTGTGCTTCCCGTGGGCACCTCCCATCTTGGAACCCTGCAGAGTGCTTCAGGGGAAGGCTGGGGCTGGGTGGGTGGGGGGTTCTATCCCTGCCTGGGGCTTGGCCCTACTGGGGGTAGAGGAGGCACACCAGGGCTGGACAAAGGTGCACACTCACTGCCCTGCCCTGGGGTCACCCTAGAGAAGAGCAGGGCCTGCAGAGGGAGATCCTGAGTTCCCTGTCAAGCATGAGAGGAGAGTAATAGAACAAAGGGGCTTCTGGAAGTCTCAGGAAGGGAGCAGGAGTCCAGAGCACCTGGGGACTCAGACAACCTGAGCTTTTGTCTATTACTTTGTTGCCATCTGGGACCGAGGGAGTAGCAGTTGCCCAGCCTGGCTCGGGTTGGTCAGGTGGCCACCTCTCAGCCAGGCTAGGGGTCCAGAGACCGAGGGGTGGCAGCAGGGAGAGGAGAGGAGGCAGTCCCTGGGGGTAGGGGCTGCAGGATAGAACTCGGAGCTGGCCCAGGTGCAGCCAGTGGCCACTGGGGTTCAGTCAGGTGACTCTACCTCCCTGCGACCCCCGGTCAGAGAGAACAGGCCGTGGCAGCTGAAGGGAAAAGGACACTAGACATCCCCAGAAGGATCTCAGCTACTGTGGCAGCTGCAGTAAGGGCTGCAAATCTCTTGGGACTCGGAGCTGCCTGCTTTTTGCAGGGCAGGAGCCCCAGTGACAAGAATAGGGCCCAGAATGTCGCTCTCCAGATATGAAGGTGATGAGCATCTGGGTCCTAGAAGCTCGAAGCCTCAGCCTCAATGACTGGCAGCCAGGGGGGGTCTCAGCTTCAGGACCTGGGCAGAGTACATGCAGGAGCCTCCAGCTGGGCTCACAGCTCCTGGATTCCCCTCCTGTGACTTTCCCCTTGCCCCTGCCCCGCTCGGGCATACTGCCTGGCTTCTGGACCCCATTCCCTCTCCAAAAGGCTGTCCCTTTTCATCTAGGAAAGTGATCTTTCTAATATGAGGAGCTAATGATGCTACAGCCTGTAATGGCTTCCCAGGGATATACAAGCAAGCCCTGTATCCCACCAGGGCATCACCTGGTTAGTGAGAGATGCCTCAAGCACCCTCACGCATGCCCTTCCACCAGCCAGGGACGCTTGTGCCCCGTCTTATGGCTCTGAAATGCTCCAGGCCGTCAAGTTTCAGCTCCCATGCCACCTCTTCCACGAAGCCTCCCTGGTCTCGGGAGGAGAACCACTCCTCAGTGCTAGGCACTAAGCAACGAGGCTGGTTGCTGCTACAAAGCGTGCCTGGCTGGTGTGCGGTCTTGAGTCAGGGTTCCCTGCTAATGTCCCTGCCTCTCCTTCCAGCCTGAGGGCCTCTTAAAGGCACCGTCAGTGCCTCTGCCCACCTCTGGGTGGGGCACAGGGAATGCCGCTGAAAATAAGTACCTGCTGGACTGGACATCCTTCAGTGCTCAGGGCCATGCTGCCATTACTCACAGGCCTCACGACTCTGTGTCTTCGAGACCCAGGAAAAGAGCAAGAGACCCATTAAACAAAAATCTGCTGGGTCCTTTGCGGGAACAAGGTCTGGGAAATGCAAATGGAGTGGGATCCTTGTCTTTGATGAGACAAATCTCTTGAGAGTTTGAACTTCAGAGCTTGAAAAAGGATTCAACATTTTAATAGGTTGCTAAAAGGTATAAAACATAATAGGTCCAAACTCCATTCCATGCAAAAGAGGAAAATCCCTTCAGTTAACCCACTGCTGGGGTTTATATAAATAAAAACTTTAACCTACCATATTAGAGTTCAAGGTACTTTCACCAACTGTCAAGTGCATTGGATGAATGGTCAGATGGAAAAATGAATGAGTGATCTCCCCACATATCTGTGAGGCCAAAATCATTACCATTCCCATTATACAGATGCAGAATCTGAGACAGAGAAGGCCAATTAACTTGAACAAATACAAACAGCTATTGCTAAATCGCTCTGATTCCAAGTGCATATCATCATCAACCATATCACATGATCTTCACGTGTGCAATACCAAGGACAGAGATGCTTCCAAACACCGCGCTAGGGGCTGGATCCACACAGAAAGACAGAGCACCAGCGTGGGAGCCGGCATTTTTCCTTTCCTGGCACCTGATTTGGAGCCTTTCTCACTTTTGAAACAGCCAGTCTCAACCTCTTCCAGCCTATCTCTGGGCTATCTCTTTTATTTTTATTCCTTTTTCAAGATGGAGTCTCGCTCTGTCACCCAGGCTAGAATGTAGTGGCATGATCTTGGTTCACTGCAACCTCCAGCTCCCGGTTTCAAGCGATTCTCCTGCCTCAGCCTCCCTAGTAGCTGGGATTACAGGCGCACGCCACCGTTTTTGTATTTTTAGTAGAGATGGGGTTTTGCCATGTTGACTAAGCTGGTCTCGAACTCCTGACCTCAGGTGATCTGCCCACCTCGGCCTCCCAAAACATCGGGATTACAGGTGTGAGCCACCATGCCTGGCCTGAACTATCTCTTTTATAGAACCTTATTTTGTTCACTCGTTCATGTGTTTCTTCCACCTGGTGCTGAAAGCTTAAGGGTCGTCTCAAGTCCATCTCAGAACCTGGAAGGCAAACAGGTGTTCAAACCCCACTGAGTGAGTTGGATACAGGTGGACAAATGAGTGGAGTGCCCAACCAGAGTCAGCCCTGCCAGTGGGACGGGGGACTCGGGCTACGGGAGAGAGCCCAACACACCCTGCTGCACATCCCTGTCCTCAGAATACTCATGACCCCCTCATGTCAAGGGAGCCACCCTCTGGGAGGGAGCTCACATCTCCAGGGGCTTTCAGCAGCAAAGGAAGGAAAGCGAGGTGGAGGGGAGGGGCCTTAACAGCTACCAGCAGGTGCGCCGTATTTTGTAGCTGATGAAATTAATCCAGCCCATTCTTCCATCCACTTCTCACATCCACACCAGGAGGCAGGACATATGCAGAGTTCCTCCCTGATCACATTCTCCAAGTGGCACACTTCCGATAATTTTTCAGGCGTATGTCAACACGCTTAGCAAAGCCATGATGAGACGAGATTAAAGGAAGAATGTAAAGGCCAGCGCAGGAGGCCCAGGGAGAAGGCAGTGAGTGGAAGGCCACGTTCACTCCCTTATTCCCTAGATGAGCAGCCCTGGATGTTAGGGCCATCTCTGGCCCTGCTAGTGTACATGATTATCACCTGCATTTTAAGGCCTAAGACCCTGAAGGTCTAAACACTGAGCTGCCCCAAAGTCCTTGGCCTTGACCTCATTGTGCCTCCAGAGAAAGAGTTGGGGAGCTGGTCTCACCAAGGCTGATGGGGGTCTGAGCCGGATGGGAGTACAAGCTTGGGGCTTCTGTGATGAGAAACACCACTTCCCAAGAGGCCCTGCTCGAGGGGTTCCATCGGGGCCTGGAGGCTCTGGATTCAGAGGCTCTGAGTCACCTGCTCAGGCCGATGCCATAAGGAACCAGCTCTGTGACTCACTCCCCAGTGCTCTGGCTGAACTTATCAGGTTGGAGACTCAAGCTTCAGCAGCAGACCCACTGGTGGGCCTGAATATCCACTTCTGCTCGGTTAGGAAGACAGGAGGAAGAGACAGGAGTCTGGCCTTCTGCCTGATCCCAGCTTCTCTTCACTTCCAACCAGACATGCTAAAGGCCGCAGGACAGTACCCCATAGAGCACAATGCCCACTAAAGAGAAGGATCCCCTCACCCCAGAATACGGCATTTTTACAGAGGAGCTGTGGAAATGGCCCTGCTAAGGGTTGGTGGATGCAGCCACAGGTGAGGGCCTTCTGGCTGGGAAGATGAGGCAGTGAGGCTCAGCCACCAGCCCAACCACCGCCAAGCGCCCGTGCCTGGGAGAGCTCCTGCTCTTCCTCCTAGAAACCCTGGGCTCTGGCGGCCGGTTGAGGCCTCTTCCTGGAGGATCTCCTGAGGGCCAATCTAAGTGTGTGGGGGTGGGGAGCATGCTTGAGAGAGACAAACCTCATTCACCCATAGCCCAAGGAAACCTCCCCCAGCTCTCTCCCCAGCACCTGCAGCCACCGGGAGGGGGTGATTGCAAATAGGACAGGGCAAGCCAGCTTTATACCTCCTCTAACTTTCACTCCCCACCACCCTTTCTGTGCCTGACAACCTAGGCAAATCAGAGGAATAAAGAAAGGCCCCCACTCCTGATCCCAAAGTGGGATAACCCAAGTGCCTCCGTAAACCTAAGCATGCTGTTCCAGCAACAAGAGGGATGCGGGTATCTCACGTTAGAAAAGTACAGGGGAGTCCTGCATCTGTCCATCTTGGGAGCTGCAGGGGCAGGGCCAGTATGGGGAGCAGCTGGATCCCAGTGCAGGGCTATGGGGCTAGAACTCCTATATCAGCCTTCCCACCGCTCAGCGGAAGGAAGCGCGGTCCCCTTCCCCACCCGCATTCCTGATCAGCAGAGCAGGCATCATCCCAGGAGCACAAATGCTCAGGAAAACAACCAGCGAGGTTACCGGAGGCAGGGGACCCAGCCAGGTACGCTCCAGAGTAGCCAAGAAAAACGCAGTTTAGCAACCTCCAGTCGTGAGTCTCCGTCCAAACCTACTAAGACACAAAGCTCTACACTGGGTAATTTTCCGGACAAAATACATACGTTTTGCTTTTGCCTCTGTTCAAGTTCACCAAGAGACGGAGCAAACCCTCCGCTGACCGGAAGCCTCTCTTGGTAGCGGAACGAGAGGGAGCTGCTTCTGGGTAAACGTCGCCGCCTAGGAGGGAGGCTGTGCGCACCCCACACCCTGCCCTCGCCCCCTCCCCGGGCCCAGCCGCAGCGCCCTCCCAGGAAACGGACGGGCTCTCAGGACTCCGGAGGGCGACGCGGCTCGTGCGGCGCCTCGCGCACCCCTGCCCCATCCCGGCCGCGCCGAGCGCGCCCCGCACGCACCCGCTCACTCTCCCCTGCCCCGGCCGAGCCACCCCGGGCCCCCGGGAAGGCGTCCCCCGCAAGCCCGCCCGGCAGCCGGAGCAGGTGCAGCCCCGCCGCGCTCCCAGCGGCGTCTGCACAAACTTGTTTGCCCGCGGCGGGGGGAACACCCTGCTCCCAGCCCGCGCGGGGGTCCGGATGGAGCGCCGGGAGACAGGACTCACCCCGCGATCGCGGCCGGCTGGGGCGCCCGCACCCGCGCCCACGGCCCGCCTCCCCCGGGCGCCGAGCCCGCAGCCCCCGCAGTGCCCGGAGCCCAGGAGCCCCGGCGCCCGTACGCCCCCGGCCGCCCGCGGCGAGCGGACCCACGGGCCCGAGCACAGGGCGCCGCCGCCTGGCTCCCCGGGGCTGCTGGCGTCCGGGCTGAGCGGCGGGGCGGGCTGGCGGGCGCGGAGCCGGGGCGGGCAGCGGGCGAGCGGCGGGCGGGCGGGCGGGCGGGCGAGCGGGCTCCGGGCTCTGCACATGCTCACTCGCGCGGCCCGGGGACAGCGGCCGGCCGCCGCCGGGTCCTAGAGGCGCCGGTGCGCACCGCCCGCCGCCCGGGGGAGGGGTCGCGGCTTCGCGGGAGGGGGCCCACGCCCTGACCCGGCCCGTGAGACACGCGCGCGGGGCGGACCACACGCGCCACTACCGAGCAGAGACGCCACCACCCACTCTAATACACACACACACGCACACGCGCGCACACACACACACACACCAGTCTCCCAGAGCCACAGCCTTTCATCGGTGCCCCACGGGCTCCAACACACGCACCATGACGCTCACACCCAGACACAGACCCACAAACACACGGGGCACTGCCGCGCAGAGGAGCACGCCGCCGCTGTCACTCCGATGCAGACTCACAGCGACAGCCCTACACTGCCTGACACACACATCCCGAACCACTGCTTCCCAGACAGAGACACCGACAGCCACACTCAGACACACACTCTCGGGGCTCTGCCCCACTCACCCAGAAGCAGACTGGGCCACCGTGACAGGCGCGCACACGTACACACACAGCCACACAGTTCGTAGCACTCTAATACACACACACGCGCGCACACACACACACACACACCCCGGATCACCGTCCCATGCAGAGCTAGAGACAGACGGTCACAGCTTCACACACATTCACACTCAGAAACCAGCACCTGCTGGAACACCCACACTCTTCACACAATCTGAGACAAACCTACACAGAACCGCAGCCCTACAAACACCCTGACACCAGCTCCCGTGTCTACACACTCGGGGGTCAGCCACCGGCTTATCATACTGCTCCACACCGCACACAGCGACAGACCCACGCCTTGACATAGTCACCCACAGAAGCAATGCCACACACGGGTGCCTACTAACAGACACACTCTCGGATAGAGGGGCACACTGGGCAATTGACCCACAGGTTCTTTCTTTCTCTCTCTCTCTCTCTCTCACACACACACACACACACACACACACACACACACACACACACACACACACACGCCGAGGTGGAAAGACACTAAACAGTCACACAAGTCTATACACAATCCCCCTCTTTAAATAAAGGCTGGATCCAAACCTAAAGATTTTTCCCAATGAGGAGCCCCACCCTGTTCCCCCGAAGCCCCCAAGTCACAGCATCTACCCTGCTCTGCCAGGTGCACCAGTGGACCCTGTCCTCACCCGGGGCTGGCTGCTAAGATGCTCCCAGAAGCTGAGGACAGCACAGGCAGCAGGAGCAGGTGGCGGTGCTTCTTACCGGGTCTTCCTAAAAGGGAGTTTCATGCCTCCGACTCCCGCTAGGGGCAGAGCTGCTTGGCCTGGTTCCGAGGAGCTGGCTTGCAACAGGTGCAGGTGGCAGGGAAAGCGCTTGCCTGGGGACCAGTCACAGTCCCTCCTTACGCGGGTCAGTCAGGTGGCACCCAGAGTAGGAAGAGACTCACTGCAGTTTGCATAGCCATGTCTGGCCAAGTGCAGAATTAGAGCAGAGTCTGCACCATCGGCATGAAGGCCGAGTGCTCTGAAGATTTTGGGGCACCTGGGTTTAATATCCTTAAACCTAGGAAGAGGATACAGTAAATGAGAGACGAATTCTGTGCTGCCTCAATGTCCCAGCCTTGCAGAAAAGCCCCCTTCACACATATATCTTTTACAGAATGTGAACGTGTGTGTTGTTATGATTACAACAGCAACCCACTGTGCGGTCTTGCAATGCTGTTTCGTTTGCAAAGCCCTCTCCAGGAACAGCTACATAATTTGAAGGGCCTAAAATAAAGAATTTCAAGAGATAAAAGGAGGATATTAAACCAGTACAGGTCCCTTCTGAGCACAGAATTCAGAGCCTTTCACAGGTCTCATACCCATGAAGCCAGCCCTGGCCCTCTCGTACTCATTGTCCCACTTAAAACTCATGAGAAGTCTATAGATGCCTTCATGTGCCCATTTGACAGAGGAGGCCCTAAGGTGGGTGACCACAAAAGGCTCACAGCCAGTTGAACCCAGGAGAACTCAAGCCCGGCTCCTCTGGGTAGCCAGACACTTCCGGGCAGCTACTATTCAGGAGAAGTGGCCGTCTGCAGCATCAGACGCTTGATACAGAATAATCAAGCAGAAGAGTTGATGTGGCTGCCACCAGGGAAGGAGGTGACTTGAGAAAGGAAAAGGCTGCTGGGTATCCATGCCATCTGTGCCGATGTCACGATGCACCTGCCCCCCACCCCCACCAGGGGAGCACCAAACAGCCCGTGTGTGGGTAGATGCTAGAGGCAACTACTGACTCTAGGGAGGGAGGTTGAGGAAGGAAGTGCATGAAAGAACTCAGGAAGTAGTTGAGAAGGACTTGGGAGTCAACATGGCCAGGAGTATTTCAGTGTCAGGACAAAGCGCTTCTTTCTAGTGATGGTGACCAGTGAGAAGTGATAGGGAGGACTGATAACAGAGTCACTCCTAATCACAGTCCAACGCCTTGCCCCTCAGCTCTTCTCTCCACATAGTTGGGACTGTTTCACAGTCACTTGTATACCATCCCTGTCCCAAAAGCAATGGGTCCCACAAAGCTGCCATCATATGTCCATTTACTGCTGAGAAATGTATCCCCCCACCCCCTAGAAGTCTGGGACTAAGAATCAGACAGGTCTGATCTCACAACAATCCCATCTTTCTGTGTTTGGCTCTTGAGTCCTCCACTCCTCTCTTTGCAGACCTCAACTATTGGATCCTAGGTATTTACATCACCTCCTAACTTCATGTCATCTGATGGCTTTTTCCTCCTTCCTTCCAGCCAGCCATCTTTTCATTTATTTACTAAGCAAGGCACCTATTGTGTGTTAGATTTTGTGTTGAACACTGGAGAGTCTTTGATAAAAAGAACCAGTCCCCTGCAGGAGTTTCTAGTGTGAAGAACTGGACGAGAAAACAGACCAGAGTGAAAACGTACCACAAAGAGAGAGCTCTGCTGTATCAGTCAGGATGCCTGCAGCCTCAAGTAACAAATAGCAAAGTAAAAGTGGTGTCAATCAAAGGGTTTATGTTGTCAGACAGCAAGACGCCTGGAGGTAGGCAGTTCCAAGGTTGGATGATTCAGCAGCTCAATGATGTCAGGATCAGGGGTGGCCTTTCCGTGCTCCCTGGACCGCCCCCTTCTGACTGCAAAATGACAACTGAAGCACTGTTTGTGACTTCCCCAAATGACAATTCCCTAAGTCAAGAAAGGAAGGAACATTTCTTCCCATGAACTTCTTTTTTCACTGGGTAAGGAAACTTTTGCCAGATCCTCCTTCTGGCACCGCCCATTGGCCAGAAATGAACCCTATGAGTACCCCTTAGCCAATACCTGGCCAAGAGGAATGGGTTTGGCTAATTATAATTCATCCTCTGGGGATAGGCCAGTCTTCTCAGAGCACATCCCCACTTAATCGAAATTGTTTCTGTGTTAGTAGATGGCTGCTGGGATGGCAACTAGCTGTGATAGATGGATGGATGGATAGATAGATAGATAGATGGATAGATAGGTAGGTAGGTAGGTAGATAGATAGATAGATCAATTGATAGATATAGATGATAGATAGTGCATTGGAACCTAAATGACTCGCAACATCAGTGTGGAGGAATTCAGGGAAGACTTCATGGAGGAGGTGACATGTAAGCTGGCTTTTAGAAGAGAAGTGGGCATCACCTGGGTCACCAGGTGCAGGGGCCATTCCAGACAAGGGTTGGGGGACATTCTTTGCAAAGGCAGGGAAGTGTGAAACACACAGGATGTCACAGAAACTGCCAGTGACTTTATACTAGCTGGTGCAAGGTCAGAGGTGGTTGGAGAGGAGGCTGAACCCTGACTGGCCACTGAACCCCCCTTCAGGTCATTGGCACCAGTGGACAAGGCAGGGCTGTGGACCACGCCTGAGCCACCACCCTGATGAGCTCCCTTCACGGTAGTCATCTAATCATCATCAGCCGTGGAAATAGTCATTCAACCAGGGATGAGTCATCATCCATCCCACACTTCTATGTCGTGTTGACAAAGGCAGCCTGACCAGTCATAGCCATGGGGGTGACAAGCCCAGGTGGGGGTAAGGGCCGGGGGTGGGGCTCATATCTCTCTCGCCTTGACCAAGTCACAATCTCTCTGGACCTCAACACTGTCATCTGCAAATCAGAGAAAATGCCTCCGTCATGGGGGTGCCTGTAAGGACCAAATAAAATGTCTGTTGAGTGTGTAAGCAAAACAACATTTGCCATTGAATATGCACATAACACATTTTAGTAAATATTACAAGAAGGGGTTTTTCCCAAAGCTTTGCTAAACTCCAGAAATGCCACATGTGCAATGCTCTCCTGAGCCACCAAGCTTATGATACCTTCTCTTCCTCCAAATGCCACCTCCCCAGAGCCTGCCCTGTCATTCTGGCTAAAGCGTCCACCTCACTGTCCAGTTTCCAGTCTTCATGAAACTCACTGTCCTATCATCTCTCTGTGTGTTTGTCGGTTTATGTGTGTCTTCTCCTCCCCAACCCTCACAGCCCACACTGCTAGAATTTAAACTCCAATATGGCCCGGGAACTTACTATCACATTCAGAACTGTATCCTTGGTGCCAAGTTTAATTCTTGGCACATAAGCATACTTACTAAATATTTATTAAATAAATAATGGTGTTTTTAAAAACATGATGTGCCTAGCATGACATATTTTTAATAAACCCAAGAAGGCTTCCCACAGTGGTCATGTTTCTTCCCAAGAATTCGAGAGGCTGCTTCCCCTTGCTCTGGTCACAGACTGATCCCTGTGTCACAGACTGAGTCCTGTATC